GAGTCAATAGACAGCGTGTAGAGAGAGAGAGTCTGTGAAGAGAGAGAGAGTAGCAGTGTTTGTAAGAGAGAGTCTTGAAGAGAGAGAGAGTAGCAGGTGTGTTGAAGAGAGAGAGAGAGAGAGAGAGAGGGTGAATGGCATGTATTTTGGGAGACTTGTCCACTTTAAACTCTGCGATAGGCGCTGGAGTTGACCAGATTTTGAATTTTTTCTCTCTCCTCGACCCTCACTCTCTCTCCTCAACACTCTCTCTCTACTTTCTCGCTCTATTAATTTGTGACTTACTTTTGTCTAACTCAGTTTAGAACTTTAATATAAGTAATAATAAGAGAGGCAGCTGGAGTACGAATTTCAACCTCCCTAAGAATTGTAAACTCTCTCTCTATCTCTCTCTCGGGTGCGGTTTGTATAGAGCCTAGGCTCTAAACAATGAAGTTAGAGACTAACTGCAAATGGAGTCCGAGAAACGTAGTTTCAATGCTGAAAATGTTTGTGATAGCCTTAACATATATTTTTATTTTATATTTATAAAATTTAAAGTTTTAAAAATTTTGAAAATTGATGTCAAAAAATACGTTTTAAAATAAACTATTTTCAAAATTTAAAATCTAATTTTTTTTCATGTTTATGCATCTTGATGTCAAGATGATCAATTTGAATATATTTGGACATCAAAACAACCTCTTCTGGTGAAGCTTTTGAGGTCGGCTCTAATTTGATTGTTTTAACTTTTCCCCTCTTATAAAACTCTTAATTCTCTTCTCTCTCTCAAAAACTCTTCATTCACCTCTTCCCTTCATCACTCTCAAAGCTCTTAAATCATCTCTTTTAATTTCTCTCTCTTTCTCTCAAAACTCTCAATTCATCTCTTCTTTTCATCACTCTTAAATCATCTCTTTTAATTTTTCTCTCTCTCTAAACTCTTAATTCATCTGCTGTTCATCACTGTTAAAACATCTGTTTTAATTCTTCTTTGTCTAAAAACTCTCAATCCATCTCAAGTATAATATTTTGTTTCTAACAAGTACGACTATATTGTTTGTCTATCTATTTTAATTTATATTTTAATATTTTAAATTTTCTATTTTTATTAAGCATCTCATTTCTAATTCTTCTGTAGAATAAATTTATACAAAAAACCTGAATTTAGATACGAATAAAGAAAAAGTTTATATAAGGTGGACACCTTAAAACCTAGAATTAAGGTGCACATTTAAAATCCTTCGAAGAAGATTGCTTTGATGTTCAAAAAACATCTAATTGATTGTATCGACATCAAGATGTATAGATACGGAGAAAAAAAAGAGATTTCATGTCTTCTTTTTTTTTTTACGGTATTCAAAAATTTTAAAAATGGACGGTCTAGATAATGTATTACAAATTGTACAATTTTTAAATGAAATGTATACAATAAGACCATTAACGTTTTTTTTGGTAGATTAGTGGGGAATACATGCCCTTATCTTTTTTTAAAAAATAATTAGCGGTTTTTCGAATGCATAAGTGGGAATGGAAACCTAAACAGGTAACTGAGACAAAGAAAAACGACTCAGGGCTTGTAAAAAAAACAAAAAAACTTAAAGTTGGCTTTTGACACCCAACTTTTTGTTCAACATAGTACAATCTTATTTTTCAGTGTAAAAAGGAGGGACAGCTGAAAAGGAGCACATCACTCAGAAAGTTAGTTAATTGTAAGCTATAAGTGGATTGGATTTGCACTGAACCGCAGAGAGTAGAGAGAGACCGTAACTAGAAAAAATACAACCGATTTTAGAAGAAATTTACGAGTTTAACAATTATCATGCTTCTTTCTCTCTCTATCCCATAATAAGAACATTTTCTCTCTCTTAGCTGGGCGATGGCTACGGCCACCATTTCGTGAATGAGAGGCCCTCCGGTTATTGCCCTCACATTCGAAATCTAAGGTTTAAAAGTGAGGTGATTTGGATCCGAATCACCCGTTTTGAATCGAGAATCAACATTTCAATTCTGGATCCCACAATACAAAGTTGAAAAATTCGACAATTCATATCAAAATCATCTGATCTGGATAAAAAATTGCCATCACCGTTCCAAATCCTTCAATATATTGGGATCCAGATGGTCTTTTTTATGAAACCCAGTTTTGAGCAACGATTCGCTATAATGATTCGCCGATTCCATTGCTTGAGATACCAAGTTACAAGTTTTCAAGACTTTCGATCCACATTTGGAGCTTTTTTATCCAACTTTAGGACCTTTTTTTCAGAGAATTGTTGCTCTAAAATTATTGGAAATTGCTCATAAAACTATTATTTTATCGATTTTGAAAAACATTAGATTTGGTGATCAAAATCAGCGTTTTATTTTAAGCTTTTGTAGAAATCCGACATTCTATCGATTTCAACTTTGATTTGTCATCAAATGTCTTCAAATATGGTTTTATTCGGTGATAATTAAAACCCACATAATGTTCTATTCCCCATCAGTTTTGCTTCCAAATCCAAGAAATTGAAAAATTCCTTAACTTTCAACAGTCAACTTAAAATCAAAGAAATCAATGGGTATTTCGGTTGATTTTGATCTACAGAGCTTTAGCTTTGATATAGATCAAAGTAGTTTTCATTTCATTTCGTACTTTTTTTTTCTAAAAGTTTTTTTTGAATGAAAGTGACAGATTAGGGTTTTCACCGGATATTGAGAACTTGTTTTTTAAAAAAATTAGTGAAAAATTGTTAAATTTCTCAAAGATTAGGGATTTTGATGCATTTAGGTTATTGATTCATTTAGTTTGTGATTCAAAATTTTTTTTTTCTCTAATTTTTTGTCATTATTTTTCACTTTAGGGAAAAACCTTATTTTTGAAGATATTTTTTTTTAAAATGTCATAGCATCAAAATTTATAAGGGGTTTTATTTTTCTATTTTATAATTTGGTAGTGCTTTTAATAGTTTTTGTTACATGTTTGATGTATTATTATAATATTGCATTATATTATATCATACATTAGATGTATTATTATAATATTACATTATATTATAGCATACATTAATAAGCAAATCCTATATTTTATTTATTAATTTATTTACATTTAAATTACATAATGTATTATTTCTTTTATATAGGCGTACGTAAGACTTTTAGTAAATAGTATTATAGTTGGTTAGATTGTGATAATTTTGGATGAGTTGAGAAAATTAACAAATGCTTACATGATATTAATTTCACTTTATAAAAGGTATTATTTTTTTAATATTATAATGTCAAAGTATTTTTTAGCATTTTTTTGAATCATGTTTAATACAATATCATAATATTACAATGTAAATTGCAATTAATTATTACACAGACGTATAGATAGGGAAACATCTCAATATTTACATATTTTAGCAAAATAACTAAAGTATATAAAATAAAAACTGCAAACTTTTTTCAAAACTTAAAAAACACTACTTTAAGAGATTTTTTAAGCTAAAACCGGCCGATTCTCCGATCCACTAATCTAACACAGTTTTTAAAGTGGCCAATCCGGTTGACCAATCCATATTTTAAAACCTTGACTGAGATTATTAATTGGAGAGCTCCATCAATACTCGAGCCAAGAAAATACAGAAACTTTTGAAAATTTTGGGGCCCCCAACTCCTAAAATGGATCCATTGCAGTATATTATACAACAGCAGAGCAAGTTTTATACACAGCTCCTCAGCCTAAGCTTTACACCAGTTTTTTCTTTTTTTTTCCATCTTCTAAACGCATTCATTTAGTAGTTGGTGGATTTGTGCGATAGCTTAAAGCTTCAGGATGAGTGGTACATATCTCTGGGGTCGAAGCTACCCATCTGATAACATGTGTACATTTCAGTAGTTTCTGTGATATGTTAGGGGTCGAGATGAGGGGTTTGACGCTCTTGAATCTAGGATTTACATCTGTTACTTTACCTTCTTCCTCGAAATGCTTGAAACTACCGCTTTCTTGCAGTGTAGCTTGCATGCTCCACTGCACTTGATCTCCTTCTGGGGGCGGGTGCTCATTGGCTGGGCTTCAGGGGTTGGCTTCCTCCTACGCTTGTTGTGACAGGCCAAACGGTTGCGGCAGCTCCTCTTTGCCTCGTCAAATTGAGAGACCTCGTGGAATCTACACTTACAGAATCAAACTATTAAAAAAAATATATAATGTCTATAAATCAAATCTCTCTCCCTCTCTCTCTCTCTGTGGATGTACACAAGCACAATATGCACATGTATAAATATGATAAAAGGATTGTATACAATGAGACCGTTACCTTTCGTACACAAAGGTCATAAACACCCTAGGCCATCAGATGTAGTATTGGAGTGTTGGGGCACATCACTGCTCTACACAAAATCCAAAGAAAACATTTCGGACTTTCGAGTGCAGTCAATGGTAATCACCCCAGCTGTGCAATTTCTCATCCAAAAGCTTGAGGTGATTGTGAGCTTTCTTATGTAAGGTAAGAGATACAAATTCAGTTATTTTCCTTCAATAAAACAGCTTATACTTTTTATATTATGGCATATATAGAAACTCGTATTAAATTCAAATTTTCCACCATTTATTCTGTCCCCTCTAGATCTATTGACATATGATAAACATTCCTTCTTATAGTATCAGGAATTTTACTTCTACATTTGTAACTTTAAGTTGCTTCTAAGTTCTAACAAGTTTTACTATCAACGTTTCTTCTTTGATTTAATGAGCTCAGCCAGACAACAGAGTTGACACCCAAAATCTTGGCATTTCCTTCAGAAACGAGCCAATTCATAATCGACCACGTGAATGAATCTTCCAGCTGGATGAATATCTTTTTCAAGAAAAAAATCTTTGCACACCATTTCAAGCACGGAGTTTCAAGAGTAATAAGTGAACTCACATTCAATGCCCTGCAAAACTTCCTTAAGAGAGGAAGAACTATCCAGCCAAATGGGATTATCAGTCTTGGCACAGCGACACGAACATACATGAAGGCATGGGAGACTTTTTTGTACCATATCAAAGTCCAATACTTTAAGAACCTCAATACATACAAAATAAATAATGGGCTTGAAAATGATCAGACAATTATCGCAACCAACACCACATTCTTAAAGGAAATAAAAGAAGGAAAAGAAAAGAATCAAAATCATGACTTTATCTATATGATCTATTGCTATGAAACGAGAACAACTAGCCGGTTTCGACCCCAATCTGATCAGGAGAGAGGCCCAACTCTGTGTAGCCGCAGGACTTAGAATTGTGGGCCCATTGCTTGATTAAATAGACCAACCAGATGATTTTACAAACTTCTATATATATATATATATATATATATATATATATATATAGACAAGTAAACTTAAATTACTTTACTTAA